TTTACTTTCCTGCAATTTCAATTCCTTGTCATTTACATTTAATGCAATTTGAGGTTTCCGCATTTTATATTTCTCTACAATTTAATATTCTGCACTGCTTTTCGATTCGACACTTTTTACTGCTTTCTTTACTTCGCGTTTTTTAATAAAAAAATACAAAAAATAGTACTTTTGATTGTCAATCTATATGCCATATTGCGCTGTTAGCGTTTTTCAATACTATAGGATTTTCGATACTCGATGCTCATACATGTTTCGATTGAAAACTATTTGCAAACCTAAGTAAATAGAATCTACGTGATTGAAAGTTAGTTAGAACCTAAGTCTCTTAAAAATCGAAATCAACCAAATTTCCACCGTAAATAATATTATATATATATATATATATATTAATGAATTATCTTTGATTTCTTATTATTATATATTATTTAAAATTATTTTTATTATTTTTAATATAAACTTATCCTAATCATATTATATATATATATATATATATATATATATATATATATATATATATATAATTGTGTGTCAATCAATTATAATTTTATTATGATTAAATTATATTATAAACAAAATATTTCAATTATAAAATTTTGAAAACACTCAATCAAATAGAAAATTTCAATAATTGATTATATAAACATCATATATAAAAAAATATTATTATATTTATTATTAACTCGATTATATAAACCATATGTAAAAAATATTATTATATTTATTATATATATCAATTGATAATATATATATATATATATATATATATATATATATATATATATATATAAATGTTAAAACTACAAAAAAATTTTATAATTAGTTAGGAAAATTTGTTATAAAATTTATTTTTCATTAATTTGTAGCTAATTAGTTATGGAACAAGTGAAAGAATAAGATTGTAGCTAATATGTAATAAAATAGCTAGAAAAATAATATTTTTGTAGTTATTCCCTCATTTAGTAGAAAAATAATTTAGTTAATAAAATTTTTGTCACTAATTCTTTGCTATCTATTAGCTATATTATTTTTTGAAGCTATTTCCTAACTAAATTATCTAACATACAATCACAGACTAACCTCGTAGCAAATTTATAGCAAATATCAAATTAACAAGAGTATTAAATTGCTAGAAATCATTCAAATTTGCTAGAGATTTCTTTATATATCTCTTACAAATACAAGTCAATTTTCTACTAAAAATTATTTATTTTTTGTATTTTTTTTTGCACAAAAATTATTTACAAAAAATACTTGTAAATTTCTCTAAAAATATATAATTATAAAAAATAATTTTGATATTTTTAAAAAAATTTTAACAAAAATTAATTGTAAATTTTTCTTAAAAAAATTATTTGAAAATTATTTTTACCAAATTTAGTATAAATATATTAATTATATATATAAATTATTTTCTGCATGTGAAATAAATTATTTAGAAATAATTATAATTTTTTGGAAAAAATATCTAAAAAAATTAATAAATATTTAAAAGCATTGTATGTAATTTTTTATAGATTTAAATTTGTCTATTAGTAGAAAATTTTATAAATAATATTTTTTTTATAATTTTTTTTTAAATTAGTCTTTATAAGAAATAAAAAAATTATTATATTTAAATATTTATTTAATTAAATTTTATTTTAAATATAAACATCTTTATTTATGATAATAAAGATATTTTTTAAAAACTATAAAAATTTTATAATTTTATATTTTTTAATCTTTACCCTTTCTTCAAAAATCTTATTCCCATTCGAATTAAATCTACATCTCACACTTTCAACTAAAACCTAGTTCACGTCGTTGCCTGCTGCCACTGCTCATGCTAGTGCCGCTGCCGCTGCCACTGCTCACGCTAGTGCCGCTATCGCCGTCGCCGTTTCCGCCGCCATATCAAGTTAGCCTAAGTTTCTTAAAATCAGAAGTTGCTTTGTATTGTTTACACTTTGCTGTAATAAATAAAAGAAAATTAGGAGCCTTGATGCGAAGTTAAAGTTGCTTCTTGGCGCCCAGTTGAACATGGGTTTGAATTGGGAACCAACCTCTTTACTTGCAAATATGTTAGAGTAAGGTTGCGTTACAATAACCCTCAACCATACCTTTGTATAGCCAGAAACCTTATAACACTGGGGTACGCTATTTTATTTATTATTATTTTTTTATAAATGGTTTTGAGTAATTTGCATTAAATTGTTATGGACATGGACTAATTAATTTAATATTTGAGTTAGTTTTCTTTGAATCCATCGCAGATTCAAGTTAAATCTGTGATAGAAACCCAGAAAATTTTGGGTTGTTCTAAGTTGATTTAAATTCAGATAAAAAGGCTGAGTAGAATGACTTGAGTTAATTTGATGTTTATAAGTAAGAAGATAATTACTTAAGATGAAGATGTTACCAGAATTTTCTATTTCCTATTTTGGATATATGAATTAGTAAATGTAGCCTAATGTTGTGTTGCTCTCTTGTGTGCTATTGTTAATTGTGATGTATGCTTATTTTTATAATTAGCATATTAATGTTAGTTTAATGAGTTGAAAGCTGAAATTGGGTGATATTTGAATAGATGAAGGAACTAAAGTAGGGGAATATCAGAAGGATTGGGGGAGGAAGAATTTGGATGGTGAAAAGGAAGGGAAGATTGAGTGCAGGGTAGGCTTGTGCTATCAGTCTGGGTTTGCTTTGCTATCATTTACATTTCCATCTTGTAAGGAGCTTTGCCCCATTAATAATAATTTATTTTCTTTTTTCCTTAGGTATCTTACTGTTGAATCTCTCTGTTATGTTTAGTCCTTCATTGGTGGAGAGGGGATTATTAATATCGATACTGCAATTACTTCTATAAAATTTTGGTTCTTAAACTCCTGATTGAATAAACTTCTCCAGAGGTCCATATAAAAGGGAGGTAAATAACATGGTAAAACGAACTGAGCTTTCCCTTTGAGTTAAATTAACTTATTCACATATTTTTTATAGAAGGTCTCTCATTTAATTTCTACAAAATCTGAAATGCACTAGTTGATTCTAGATTATAGGACAAACTCAGTTCATTTTATTTTTACAAAATCTGAAATGCACTAGTTGATTCTAAATTCTAGATTCTAGATTAAGCAACTCCATTTTCATTTATTATGGCAGAAGTACTGCTAGCATTACTAACTTGATTTACAGTTAAGTAGGAGTTGTGGCCTGTGTATAAGAAATAATGAGCCAAAGGAGAAGTCATGTCATGATGCACCTGTAGATCCAAAACACACTAGAAATATGAGAAAAGTTCAAAATATATATAATTAGAAGATCATGAATAAGTGCATGAAATTATATAGTATAGTACCTCAGCAAGGGGACCATTAAGGTCACTGAAGAGGTAACAATAGGCTTTTGGAGTCTAAATTTCCCTTACTCTGTACATAGCTAGGCAAAGACAGATACCTTATGCTTTTGGAGCATGAATATTGTGCCAACATGAAAATTATAAGAGTTGAAGTCTTTTCTAAAGCCTCCAAATGACATTAGATGAAATTAGGTACTTGTTCACTTATTTTCCATTTTCAGTAGCTTCACCATAAATAATCAAATAACCATAAATTAAGCACTTGCAGCTACACTAAAGCATTTTGGTACATTCTATGTAGCATGCTTTTTGCTTTGATTTAAACTTACTAAATTATTTTGCTATCCCTGTTTAATCAGAATGACTGTAAAATGTTGATTGTCAACATTATCATTTGATCTACTTAATAGGTGGATCCCTGTTTCTGTTCAACAAAAGAGTCATGCGTTTCTTCCGGAGAGACGGTCATAACTGGCGCAAGAAAGAGATGGAAGAACTGTGGGAGAAGCACATGAACGGCTGAAGGTGTGTAGCTCTGTTGTGTTTATTAGATTTCCATGAAAGAAGAACACTTATTAGCAAGTGTCTACCGGGGTCTCAGTTGGAGCAATGCAGTCCAGAAATATGTATGTATTTATCTTCAAAACATTGAATAGATGTCTCAAACATGGTGACTAGTGATAGATGGTATTATTTAAAAATCCTTACTAGAAGTTTCATTTTCAATTGTATTGGACAAGTTTCTTCATAAACACTTTTAGGAAAGAAAAATAAGAAAGACATTATATAAGCTTCTCCATAACTATAATAAGCTTAAAACATACGAAAGAGTTTCTACAAATTAGCTTATACATAAACTAATTTTAGTTTATGGAGAAACTCATTTCATTTTTTTCCTTCTTATTTGTTTCTTCTTGAATTGCTTTTGAAGAAGCTTGTCCAAACAAGCTGCCCAATTATGTGCTACCAAGATGCTTTTGAGAAGATAATGAAAGATTTGTCTATCAATTATCCTATATATATATATATATATATATATATATATATATATATATATATGAGTTTAGGCGACCATTTGTTTTTGCAATGGTATTCCGCATGCTGATTTCTTTAATCGAAAAGTTTTAATTTGCATGAGTAGGTTGGGAATGTTGAAGCCTTAAATTGTTACTATGCACATGGAGAGCAGAACCCTAGTTTCCAGAGGCAGAGCTACTGAATGCTGGATCTGTGAGTAAATTTTAACTAATAGTTAATTGCATGATCGTCATACTTTTCTATTATGTTTATCACTCCGACATGTTTTATCCCTTAAAAGAAACATGCAATATTCGAGAAAAAAGCCTCCTAGAGGTAGTTAACTAAATAGTAAATGAATTTCAAATATTAAATTAGGCTAGACTTTGAAACAGAATCAGTCTTTGATGTTCATAACTATTTGAGATATGCTTGTATATTTGTTATTGTAGTTGTTGTTTCTAATCACTCTTGCTATTGTTCATGGCAGGGAATATGAGCATATTGTTCTTGTGCATTATCGAAACACAAGTGAGGTGATTATTCCTAATTTAAGACTTACCAATACGGAGGCCTACATCTCACCTCCATATCTTAATTTAAGACTAGATGCACATTGGATAACCATTTCGTTCTGAACAATAAAATGGATCACATGGATGGAACCGATGCAGAATCAGGAACCTCATCTGAGCTTGAGGTTAGTCAAGCTTTGCGCCGATTGGAGATACAATTAAGTTTGAATGAGGACAGCTTTGAAGATATTGCTCCCTTCTGCAATAAGCAAGAAACTACAATCGATTCAAACCCTCAGCACAATAAAAGGGTGATCAACAATCAAGAGCAATCTGCAGCTTTCTCTGAACCTGATGATCAAGGGCTATTTTATGATGAATATAGGCAAGGTAAATAAAATAAACTTGATCTTGTGAGAACACATGGTTTACATTAGTGAAATTTCTGAGTGCATAATCTATACTTTTAATTTAACCTGTTTGCATGGAGATATCCATCTTCTACTTTTGTAACATTGTGCCTGTTAGCTGTACTGCTCTGCTACTTTTCCGCAGAGCATCATTCACAATTATCATAACCATCTTCTTTGCTGTTCTATTTAGTTTTTCTCACCAAAACGTAATAAGTTGTAAATACTCACCACAGCTAGGTTTCTCTGAAATTGACATTATTGCAGTAGACTTTATAGGAGGAACATATACAAATGTGGAACAGGTTGTAAAGGTTTTATTGGAAACTTTCATTTGTTACATAATATGTAAACTGTTCTTTTATGATTGATAAAGAAAATAAAAGAAATGTTCTAGTCTTGATAAATTGCATGTTTGGGTTTCCGACACTCTGCTCACTCGATCTTTTGTGACATTTGTGGCCAGAGGTTTGTGTGTGATGTTATTGTGACTTTGGCTATGCTTGAAGCTTTTCCTTGTAAATTAGTAATTCATCTGTTCAAGTCCTTCTTTTATAATTAATATTTTGAATTTTAATTGAAATTCAATTTTGTAGTTTGATTTGTCTTCTTCATTATGGAACATCATCTGGAGAGAGAGGAACCTAAAAGATACTAAAAGTGTTTATTCTTATAGGTCTCTCTTCCCAAAATCTTACTACACCTCTTTCGAAGAAATCACTACCTTAGCTACACGAGATATTTAATTTGCAAGAGCAGATGAAAACATAGTTGCAGACACAAATTGATATACAAGCATTGATGCAAACATAAATGAAGATATAAGCAGAAATGCAGACATTCATGTAATAACAAATGCAAGAAGAAATGCAGTCTTTTAAGAAAATTTATTATCCGTCTTAAATAAACAAGAATGAAAATGTACTTTAAAGAATCAAAAATTTGTTTTTATTTTTAATTGTGTTCATATAAAACTTTTTAGTTCATACATAACCTTTTAGTTTAGTTTAAATTTTTTTTTTGTTATGTTTTAATTGTTTGAAATATTATTTTGACTATGTTTAAACAATACTTTTATACTAAAAATTGATAAATTTGTTTTCTTTTTTCAAGAATATGAGTAATAATTTAAATGTTAAACATTTGATATTATAATGTTATGATGATACTTTAGCAGGAATATCTATTTCGCTAATAATAATAATTAACTAGGAAATTACCCGTAAATAAAATTGAGAGAAATTAGCTATGGAGTAGTGACAAAATTGTGAGGGGTTAGCTACGGATTAGCGAAAGAAAATTTGTGAGGGATTAGCGAGAGAAAAACTGGGAGGGAATAGGTACGGATTAGTGAGAAAAAAATAGTAAGAGATTAACTACGAATTAGCGAAAGAAAAATTGCGAGAGATTAACTATAGTTTAGCAAAAGAAAAATTGCAAGGGATTAGCTACGAATTAGCTTCAACTTAACTTGAAATTTAGGATATCAATTAGCTAGAGAAAAACAAAATTTCATCGTTTAAATTAGCGAGGGATTTAGCGGCATATTGGTGACAAAATTTGCTACAAATTTGAGAGAGAATACATCTCTATCTAATTAGCTACTTGGATTTAGCGACAAAATATTTCATAGTTAATCCGTAGCTAATATGTAGCAAAATGTATCAACGAGATATTAGCTACATACTAGCTACTGAATGTGTCATAGCTAATATGTAAAATTCTTGTATTATATGTGATTTTATAATTTTTTTATTATAATAAAATTAAAATTGTATTTAAATATAAATTTAATTTTTAATAATGTTATTGATTTTATTTTTTATTATAAATTTTTAAATTATATTTTATTTTTTAATTAGTATTTAAAATAAATTTTTATACATGATTTTTAATTAATAATTTTAAATTTATTTTTAAATAATTTTAAATAATTTAAATTAATTACTTTAAAATTAATTATTTTTTATAAAATAATTTATTTTTATTTTTTATTAAATTTTAAGTAATAATATTTTAGTAATTTAATAAATTATTTTATTAATATTTTTTTACTTCAAATCAATTATAAATTTTCCTCTCATTTCTTTTCACTTTTTATTCTCTTTCTATTTATCTAAAATAATTTTAAACATTAATTAAAAATATCTAAAATTATTTATATACTTTATATAAAAAATTTATTATATCTCAAAATTTTATATATAATATAAATTAATTATTTTATATTAAATTATATCACATTCTAATTTATACTTATTTTATTTTTAATATTTTGATCACTACATATTTTATATTATTATTTTAATTTTTTTTATTCAATCAAATTAATCTTATTTTCTACAATAATTTTACTCATTTCTCTTTACTCAAATAGACATATTTAGCTATTCCCGAGAACCAAATTCAGAATTATATTTTTTTGTCAGCAGTTTATATTTATATATTGATATAATGAAATATTATTATATTTATATATATTTACATATGATCATAGTTTAATAATTGTATATTAATATATTTTAAATATTTATATGTTTGTATATATAATTATAGTTAAATATTAATATATAAATATATTTGTATAATTACATAATTAAATATTTTCATATGTTTAAATAATTAAATATGTAAATATATTTTTAAATATTAACATTTATTTAATAATTGTATATTTATATATTGATATATATGTATATTTATATATTTTAATTATTTATATATTTATATATTGATATAATTATATAATTATATAATTATTAATTTTCATATGTTCAAATAATTTAATATTTATATATGTAAATATATTTTTAAATATTAACATTTATTTAATAATTTTATATTTATCTATTTTAATTATTTATATATTTATATAATTACATATAAATATATTTAGATATTTATATAATTATATATTAACATATGTTAATATTTTTGAATTTTTATATTTATATAAATATATTAAAATTATTTGATTTTTTATGATTAAATAATATTAAAAATAAAAGAAAGTTAATTTACACTCAATTAGTTAAAAAAAATGTTATGATAATATTAAAATTATAAAGAAATAATATAAAATTGAAAAAATATTTATTAAATTGAAACAATCTAAAAATAAAACATGATATAAGGAATATATTAATTTTATGGACAAGTAGCTATATGATAAAGGGAACAAATTTTGGGACAATATTGACTTTTGGTGATGTCCATTTATGTTCTTATTCGTCTTGACTTTGAATGACATTTTGTAGTTCTCTTCATTTCTGAATTTTGGCTTAAAGTTGGTCTCGTGTAAGATGATCAATAATCTTCATTTCTTAATTCTTCGAACAGTCTGTCATAGACCTTATCAATTTGTACTAAAGTATAAATAAAATTTATGTAGGTGGTAAAATCATGTCCACATCATTCTCTCCCTCTTGAAAAGGATTTGTCCTCAAATCAGATTCGTCATCTATATAAAAAAGATATAAGTCTAACAAATTGAATGTAGAATTAACATTATACTCACTTTTTGTGGTTAAATAGTTCTCCCTCACTTCAAGTGTTTCACTTTTCTTTTGATCACTCTTTTCCTCTCAAGTTTTCACTAACACTTTCTTTTTCTCTCTTTTCTTGAAGAAAATTTTCTCTCATGTTCTTTTTATCCTCCTCTGTCATCAATTTGATGTTCAAACCCTTAAACTGGGGCTCTAAATACCAACGATATGAATCTCAATTGCACAAGGGGTGAGTTAGGATCTTTAAGGTTAGAATCTTGTAGGAAATTTAGGAATTTAGTGATAAGGTGGAAGGAAAGAATCACTCTTCTCAAGGGAGTCAACTCACAAAGCATGTGAAAGTCGTTTGATACAACCAATGGTTCTTGAATCACTCAAGAACTTAGGAGAATCACTTTCACTAAGATAAAAGAGATAAACTCTAATATTTTTAAATAAAATTTCACTTGTTCTCTTTGATAAAAATATGGTTCAGCCTATATAGAAGTTTTGTCATCAGAATTACAAAGATTCAATAAAAAAAAATAAATGCTAATAATGATTCATTAACCTATGAATTAAAAACTACTTAATGACTGATTGTAACTGAAATTGTAGCAACCGAAAGTCAACCAGTTATTCACCCTCTTGGTCTCCCAGAGATTGATGACTAAATTTCCAATTGGGCCCTTATTACAGTTTGCAATAAAACTAAACTAAAGTCCATTAATTGATTAATCCAAAACATAATTTGGTCAACCAACCATATTTGTTGAAGAGTTTTCTTTGTTTCCCTTGCTCTAGCCCTTGTCATAGGTCATGTCCACATCAGACTGTGTTTCCTTGTGTAGACTCTATATGGGCAATTATGGTTGACACACGGGTTGAACAATCAACATTGACCATTTCTTAGATTGTTTGAGAAATAATGCGTGAACCCAAATTGTCATGATCTTGAGATATTAATGGGGACACGCAAGTGTGGTTGCGTTCCTACTTCATTATTTTTCAATATTGCTCTCTGGTCTACAATATTGCTTTACACCTCCAATCATACTTTGGAGGAATACAATGCACTACAAGCCTAGATTGGTTTGAAATTTACACCTTGTATGTGCAATGGTGCATGATGTGGAACCTGTTTATTGGATTTGTGACATCTTGTCTGTTATTAAAGTGTTGACCAACAAACAATGTCCCAGGGGGTATACAAATGATTCTCAATTAAGAACATGGGCAAATTCGAGATCAATGTCATTTATGGTAGAGTGGAATTAGGTAAAATGTTCAGATTGTAGGTGACTGTGTAGGTTCAATGGCAAGTTCTAGTTAGGGTTCTTCATCATCTTCCTCATTTTCACTATCAGTGAGGATGTCATCTTCATCATCACTAAAAGTGTCATAAGTTTCTAATGGAAGACCTAATATGACATGTCCTTCCATGGATGAGTTGTTTGGTTGTGTTGGATGGGTTGGCTGAAAATGTGGGGTTGGTCTTGTAAAAAGTTGTGTGTACGTTCCCAAGAAGTATAAAAGGAATGATTGTTTACGCCTAGGTTTGATGGTGAAGGGTGGTAAGAAGATTTAGGTTGGGGATGATAAGAAAATTCAGGTTGTGGGTTTAGTACTGGTTCAGCTACATAGGAAGGCGACGAAAAAAAAATTGGCATTTGGTGTTGAGAT